ACGTTGCCACTTTCGACCAACCGTTAGCCATCGACGAAAATGGAGAAATCAGCCATTTGCTGAAAATAAAACCATTTATGGCTGTAACTCTTAACTCTGACTGTCTTTAAAATTTTGCTGGACAAAGGCTGGTTTACACTTGTGTGAACCGCTGACGCGACCGCTTCGCACCCACTGGCCACGCCCCCTGACAGGCACTGCGGCTGCGAAAGCCTCATAGTGCATGTCTACTGTAGAAGTGGAACTAACATTTTGGTTGGGTCCATGCCAGCAGAGCCGGTCCACTCCGGTCTGTTGGTACCATCGTACTGTGCGAGTCCGATCCAACTCCAGAAGTACAACGGTGATTGAGTAGCGATTTCCTTCTAAAAAGCAATCAGTCAGCTTTCGCCAAGGTCGCAATTACGGACTAATGATCCAGCAGGAACTCACAAACTCTTCCTCCGAGTCGGCAACGAACAAAGTCGCGCCTTTCTCGACACACGCCCTCTGGGCGCTTTCTCGTTCCATTTTCATGAATTCCATGTGATAGCAGGAGTCGTGGTAGCGTATCCAACCATTTGGGCACCCGATCGCCTTGCGTACTCGCCGAGCCCACTGCGTGTCGTCCTCGTCAACCAATGTACTGTTGTCATCAGTTCCATTTTCATCAACATATGTTTCGTTACTTCGATCATAGGGGTTCTCTGGAAATTAGAAGTTGCATACGGTAAGGGAGCTGGACTGATCGGGAGAAGTTCTCACCTGTGGTTGTACTCGTTGGAGCCGTCGTTGTCGTCTCCGACGTGGCAGACATGCTCGTAGTGGTCGTCTTCGGGAAATCTCCAGCTGTGCTTTTCTGTGTCGTTGAATTCATCCCGTTGGCTCCTCCGCAGCAGCACCTTTTGCGAGCGCTGGTGGATCTGGTTGTTGGACCTTCGCGGTCATATTGGGGTTCCTCTGAAAAGTCAGACTTAAAGGCAGTGATCACGACGAAGGGTGGTTGGGTTTCTGATGTAAACGTCATTGGTGGACTATGGGGATGCG